TATGTTCGTGATTCTATACTCGATTTTTGGTGAAAGTCGTTTTTGGGTAGATCTTTCGAGAAACAAATCTTTTCGTATCAGAAAGAAGAAGTTGAACCACATTCGATATGAGAACATAGTTTTAGATAATAATGCAGTGGGTTTTTCAAATAATGGTCCCGAATTCCTAACAAGTGTTTCTATCTGTATCAGTTATATGTTTAATCTAGACATCACTTAGTCGTTTGGTCGTCCGGGTGTGTTTATTCTTAGGTTTCGTCCTTACTCATTGAACAAGGCGATTTAATGATCTTGATTTGCAGCGTAGCTAACAAAGACTAAAATTCAAATTGAGCGTGAGTTAATAATAGCTCAACTGAAACGAACAGAGCAAAATATTTACAGAACAGTGAACAACACGATGTCTAAATGGTATAGGTCATACAGTAGAAATGTTATAAAACAAAGATTATATACTAGTACGTAATGTAGCATATGAGAGAAGGTCTGTTATAAGGCAAGCATTCCAGAATCATAAGGTAGAATTGGAAATCGAACGGTTTTCAACCGTCCAAGATTCACCGTTCGGCCAACGGTCCAGAACAGCGACGGAAATCAATCCGTTATGCAGATGGATGGTTTTCTTAAGAAGCTTGTGAAACAACTCAGAGGATACTGTCGCACGACACGACCAAGAGTTCAGGCCTTCAGTGAGCTGGTGGATGCGTTGCTTCTGACACCCTTCAAAGTTGTGTCCTCTGCCTTATTCTGTTGGACTTCATTGTCATTAATAGAATAATGCGAACAGCAGTGAAAGATTTGTCGAATGTCGAAGTTGGGCCTACTCATTACGTCGCTATCTTGACTATTCTGACGATATCGTCATTATGTAATTGAATAATATGCCCATGAGTGAATCCATAAAGTAACTGCAGCAGTGGCACTAGTCGTCAACGCAGCAAAAGCGAGTGTGTTTTTCCACGGGATCCCGAACCAGTAGGAAAACCCATCTACCTGTTGAAGAAGTTACCGCCTTCAAAAATCTTGACTCATACATCTTTTTCAGTATACGGTAAAAATGAAAATACGGCTCAGCTAG